AAAGAGCTAGGCTTCCTCTTTGCATAATATATTGCAGCTCTGAATTTAAATGTTTACTAAACTTTTGTCAGAATTTTTGATGGCAACACATACATAAATGAAAAAATGTTTCTGAAAAATATGGTCGTATTTTAAACAAAGCCTTCTTTATTTTTTCAGTTATGTTTCCAAAGAACTCCAGACAGATAAATAGTGACTGGCATGCTCTTTGACATAGATAACCTGAGTACAAAGTGTCCACCAGGATGGCCTTTACAATGTGCCAGCCTGATCTGTTATGTGTGGAGTTTCTTTGAACGAAGGTGCTTGGCTCCAGGGCCGCCCAGAGAGGGGGGCAAGTGGGGCAATTTGCCCCAGGCCCCGCAGGGGCCACCACGAGAATATAGTATTCTATAGTATTGCACCTTTTTTTGTGGAAGGTGCCCCCAAAATTGCTTTGCTCCAAGCCCCCTGAATCCTCTGGGCGGCCCTGCTTGGCTCTTTGTAGGATTGGAACCTACAGTTATATGTTGTTAAATGCCCTGCCACAGACAATGTGTAATTTTCACATACCCTTTGGCACAGCACTTTAGAACATAATGGCCATATCTGTAACTTTGCTACTGTCCATACTGTATGCTGATTTGTTCATTGGAGCATTTAGTCATTCACGTGATCAGTTTTCTAATCAGTATCTCCAAAAATCATGCCCCTGTATTTTCTTATTGTTTTATATAAAAGCTTTTATTGAAACTACATAAAGCAGTTTAATTTCATGTTATTGTAACTTTAGCTCCTTGAATTCATTGCCCATTTATAGCTGTCCTCTACATCAAATATGCACTTAACTGCCTCTGTTTTTTATTAGTAATTCTAGTAGGTGGTGATTATATGACATTTTGCGTTATTTTGTACTAGATTTGAATATCATAAGAAATTCATTAATGTCTTCAAATCTTGTGGGTTTGTTTTTTTTAAAAAACACCACATCTTAGGTTGATTTCTATGTGTAAAACCCTTTAACCTTGATATGACTTAATTCATACAAGTCCCAGGGCCAACTGCTTGGGAGGCCCTGAGGACAGCCACCCCGGCCGCTGCTGGGGTGGCCCCGGCGACCGCCCAAGCAACAGCCAGTGCAGTTGGCCCCAGGGACCACCTGAGCAGTGGTCTGGGGGCAGCCAGAGCAGCAGCCAGTGGGGCTTGCCCCAGAGGCCCTCCCAGAGCAGCAGCACCCCAGAGGCCCCCAGAGCAACTGCCCTGCAGGGCCTCCCAGCCAAGATTTAGTCAGGGGTATTTATAGTAAAGGTCATGAACAGGTCATGGGCTGTGAATTTTTGTTTATTGCCAGTGACCTGTCCATGACTTTTACTAAAAATTCCCATGACAAAATTGTAGCCTTACTTATAAAACCTAGTTAGCATAACTGATATCCCTATCTTCCTTCTACATTTTACACTATTCATGCTATTCTGACACACTGTCAGCACTCCATTTTGTGGGAAGCTGCATAACAATCTTGTGTTATATGTATAACCTTTGTAAATGTAACTTTAAAGGGATGAGACTAGACTTTTGGTGAGCTGCAGGAAAACCTTCTGGTCATTTAGATAATGCAAACTGAACAGGAGCAAAAAATCAGCCCAATTATGCAAAGTACACAGGAGGTAGCTTGGTCTACTGAGTTTAGCATAAGCCTAGGAGTCAGAAACTCCTCAATTCCAGTCCTGGCTGTGGTAATGACTCATTGTGTGTCCTCAGGCAAATCACTTCACTTCTCTCTG